CATCCCATCCATCTCCTCCATCCCCATCCCATCCATCTCCTCCATCCCATCCCATCCATCTCCTCCATCCCCATCCCATCCATCTCCTCCATCCCCATCTCCTCCATCCCCATCCCATCCATCTCCTCCATCCCCATCTCCTCCATCCCCATCCCATCCATCTCCTCCATCCCCATCTCCACCATCCCCATTTCCATCACTGCCACCTCCATCTCTACCACCACCATCACCTCTATCATCTCCATCTCCATCACCACCATCTCCACCACTGTCCCCATCACCCCAGATCCCATGGTACCTGGTGGTGCAGCCTCACCATGTACTCAGTCCTGCCTAGGGGATTTCTCTCCTGTTGCTGGGTCTGTAGTTCAACTCATGTCCACCCTTTGTCCAAAGGGTAAGACCTCCGGACATTTCCTGAGTCCCCACCACTCATGGTAGCATTGCACGGCACTCCCCACAGGCCTTTGCACCCTGTCCTCAGCACTTCTGCCCCACCCTGGCACAGCTGGCCTCTGCCACCCCACCACCCATTATTGCAGGCTATGGGACCTGTAGTTTCTTTTTTTTTATTGCCTTCATAGTATTTATTCATAGTGCAAGATGTAGACATGATATCTTGTCTAAACACCCTGTAGTTTCTTGACACCTGCCAATTTACAAAACTGTCACAAGTGGACCACAGGACCTAGCAGGACAGGATCCTGTCCCATCTATCTCTAACTCTGCTACTTAGCAGAATGCCAGAGCCAAGCATAGTAGTGCAGATCTGTAATTGGAGGCTGAGGCAGGCGAATCGCTGCCTCCGAGGCCAGCCTGAGCTACACAGGTCATTCAAAACCAAACTTGAATACAGTGAGACCCTGCCTCAAAAAAAAAAAAAAAAAAAGTAGAATAAGTAGACACATAAGCAAGTAACCATTACTTTGGGTTATATGAATCTTAACCTTCCTATCACTAGGAATGTGTAAATTTAGAAAATGTTTATTTTCAGCATTCCAATCTACGATTATTTAACTGACACATGTACACGTCCAACGTATTAAATGACAACCTATCAAGCCACTCCGAGAACAATCCACCCAGTGGGACCGAGCAGCCTGAGAAGGCACCAGGAGAACCTTCTCTACACAAGGCACTTATGCTTGGGAGCAGGAGAGGGAGGCAAATGTACTTACCCACCACTGGACCGCAGCGTGACCAGAGACCCCTCCCGTGGCCACAGGACCACAGGGTGACCAGAGACCCCTCCCGTGGCCACAGGACCACAGGGTGACCAGAGACCCCTCCTGTGGCCACAGGACCACAGGGTGACCAGAGACCCCTCCCCTGCGATCTCCCACCAGACGGTACAGCACACTGGGTGCGGGGGAGGGTACAGACAGACAGCAGGGCAGCAGGGATAGGGTGACCAGTTGCCCAGAAGGCTCCAAGGCAGCCAGAACCTCGCATCGATTGAGGCAGGGTTACCAGGTGACTCCAAGGGCAGCGATCTTAAGCTAAAGAGATTCTTGCCCTGGAGCATCTAGTCTTAATCTTTGACAGGAAACCTTGTAGGGTGACACCAACAATCCTCGCCTCCACTTGGCCCCTACAGAAGCACGTGAAGGCAGCTATTGTGAATCCAGGGCATTCAACACAAAATGACTGACAATCCAAACGATTTTGAAGAAAAATTTTTAAATGACTGTGAAGGGCCTGCCCTGATTTACAGAGAGAACACCACACTCCAGCCGCTGTGAGCCCCAGCGATGCTGCCCAAGGCTCCGGAACCAGACAGAAGTGACCGCCAGGAAGAAGGAGAAGCCCCTGTTCCCAAGGGGCAGAGAAGACCTGCCCCCCCCCCTGAGATCAGGGGCTGTGCTCAAGTCTCACCTCTTCCCAACACCCAGCCAGAAGGTCAGCCTGCTGTCCCTCCATGGGACATAGAGAGGGGCAGACAGCGGCTCTGACTGCACAGCAGAGCCTGGTCGCCACCAGGTGGGGCGGACGGCAGCCCAGGACAGCAAGGGATACTGGCTGTGTGCCCCGGGCAGGGGAACCAGGGGGGCTCAGGACAGCTCGCTGTGCACTGCAGACAGGGCCCAGGTGTCCCCTTCCCATTCCCGAAAGATGCTAACAGGCAGCTGGGTTGGGACCTCTGCGGAAGCCGTGAGTCGGGGACAAGCAACAGCTACAAAAAAAAACCCTAGCAGCCCACAAAGCACAGCCCAGGACCAGGGGCGAGGCCGGGTGGCTTCAGGGCTGGAAATTCAAGCCTTAAAGCTGAAACCTGCCTCTTCCCTACTCCTGAGCACTGTGTGCCGCTGAAACGCATCGCGACTGGGAAGTGCTCAGAATGCAGCCACTCTGGAAAAGGCTTAAGAAAGCTCAAGAGTTTATTAAGAATTAAAAATACTGTAAATAAGCCATACCGCTCATTTTACGGCGAATTGAGGACTTTTCCCTTTCAGGGGTGGTTTTTTTTTTTTTTTTTTTTTTTTTCCTTTTCTTCCTGGGAGGGCAAAACAGCTATTACAGAACAACACAGTTCCAAGGGAAGGCGTGCAGGAAAGAGGTACAGAAACGCGGTGCGTCCACACCACGGCAGGGCTCCACCCGGGCGGCAGGCCTCCTGACCCATCCCACCGTCACAGTAGCAAAGACCTGGCCTCACCGCTCGGGGTACTCTGTGGACAGCATTTAAAATCATCTCTCTGAAGAATCTGCTCTCTCTCCTGGGAATCCACGACCAAGCGTTCAGTGCCCAGCCCAGGAGCTGGCACAGGCTGGTGACTGAGGGCACAGGGACTCTGGGCACTGCACTTCCACATTCCGGTGCTTGGCAGGTACCTTCGATGTCACCGGAGGGCTGGGGAATAGGAGAGAGGCCCAGGCCAGCAGGGCACCACAGCCAGGGGACCTCAGGCAGCCAATCCATACAAAATGAAGGCGAGCCTGGCCCCTGACTCAGCTACCAGCTAGGAGTTCCAACCACTTTTCAGAGGAAGACAATGAGTGAGAGAGATGTCAAAAAACAATGGCCACAAGTATGAAACTAAATAAAAAAAGTAAAATTAAGGATCCTTAAAGACAGTAAGAAAAAGTGTGCTCACCGCCTTTAAAAAAAAAAAAAAAAACAAAAAAAAACTTGAACTCTGGCCACCAGACAGGATCCCTGAGGCTGGCATTCAACTGCTTCTGTGCATCCACGGCTGCAGTCACTGCCACCTGCCTCACAGCAGACGCTGTCCTCTTTGCTAGAGCTAGCACCATCCCCAGGGGTCAGGTCGTCCCCAGGGGCCAGGTCATCCCCAGGGGCCAGGTTGCCAACCACAAGGAAAAGCAGAGGCCGAAGAAACCAGCGCGTGTGGCAATTGCTTGGGGTAACCAGGCACAGAACCATAGTGCCCAGCAACAAGTGCTCTTGGGGGGCCCAAAAGTGGGGGGCACCCACACGGGAAGAGACAACTTTTTGGTCACAAGAAACCAGCCTAGAAATCCTCACCCTGCACACACAACCACTTAGAACTTTTCGTAAATCCTTTCAACTTCCACAAACAACCTGTCCAGGTCTTTCCTCAGGCCATCTAGGTTGGCGTAGGCACCCTTCAGGTCCCTCTCATTACTCTCAATCTTGACCGAGTAGGTGACCAAGCTGTCCACAGCAGTCCTGAGCATCTTCAAGTCTGACTCCACCTGGCTCACGGAGGACTTGAGATTGTCCAGCGAGGACAGCCTGTCCAGCAGGTCTGAGGCGGGCGGCTGGGCGGCTGGGTCCTCCCTGAGCAGTGAGTGCACCTGCTCACGCACCCGCTGCAGGGACTCCACGGTGCCGGGCAGCTCGCCCATGCTCCTCTTCAGCTCCTCCACATCGCCATAGAGTGCCAGCTGAGCCTCACCCAAGCTCTGCACCGTGCTGGCCAGCCCGTCCCTGTCCACCTCGGGCCCCAGGCTCTGCAGGCGGCCATGCAGCGTGGCCAGGCGCTCCTCATGGTCCTGGCTGCTAGACACCAGTGACTGCAGGCTCTCGGCCTGGTGCGCAGAGGCCTCCCGTAGGGCCTGCACCCCTGACTCCACCCCCTGCAGCCTGGAGTCCAGGGCCTGGCCACTCTGTAGCAGGGCATTCAGGCTATCTGAATGTCCAGAGTCACTGTCCCCCCCAAGCCGGAGGGTCTCAGCCCTAAGCTGGCTCAGCTCCTCCTGCAGCCTCCTGACCTCGTCTGGGAGGTGTGTGGTGGCCTCCTCCGAGCGCTGCAGCTTCTCGGTGAGCGCCTGCAGAGCCAGGCGCTCAGCCTCTACCGCCTCCTTGAAGGCCTGCTGCTCCTGCTTGAGGCTCACCAGCTCCCGCACCTCGCTGTAGACCTCGGCCTCCAGGGCCTGCAGGGAGCGGCGCAGGGTCACCAGCTCCTCATTCTGGGACTTGGCCGAGCCCTGCACCTCCTGCACCATGGCCTTCAGGGCCTTTAGGGCCTGCCGGTCCTCCCCAGCTTCCTCCAGCACGGCCACCTTCGCCTTCACCTCATTGAGCTCCTCCTGGCCCCGCTTCTGCATGTCGGTGAAGACAGCAATGTTGTCGTTGATGGACCGGGTGAGCTCCGTCAGCCTCTCCTCCACCGTGTGCTCCAGAGACGTGAAGTCGCGCTCGCGGGCGTCCTTCACCACGTGGATGCCGTCTGACAGGTCCTTGAGGATCTCGTTCTGCAGTTTCTGCAGCACCTCACCGATGCGGCTGATCTCGCTCTCCCCTTGCCTCACGGCTTTGTCCGTGAGGTCCTGCTTGTGCTGGGAGCTCCGCAGCATGGATTCCAGTGTCCCAAACGTGGCTTGCAGTGACTGCACCTGTAACGAGAGCCAGACGTCAGCTGCCAGAATCGCTGGCAAGTTTACGTAACACAGCCTCTTTGCTTTCCATCTGCCCAGGCTCTGGGGCCCCTGCTCTGCCAGAACACAGGACAACCTCTTTTAGGGAACTCTCCTTTCACGCACAGGCCATGAGGCTGTGGGGAGCAGCTGCAGGACCCCGCCGAGCACTGTGTCCACACACGGCCTAAGGCAGCTGGCTGGCAACCCAGCGTTTCTGCTAAAGCTCAGGGGAAGTAAGCGGGTCCAGATGCACACACGTGAGCCCAGCACTGGGAGGATCCCTGTGAGTCCCAGGCCAGCCAGAGCCACTAAGGAATTCAGGGGCAGCCTGAGCCAAAAACAAGGCGAAGTTTTGAAAACCTGCAACAGCCACGCTGCTTCTGCCCAGTACCACGCATCTGTTCGAAGCAAGGCTTGGCCTGGGAACCACCAGGGAGCTGGGTATGGCGCTCAGTGCTGCGAGGTCTCGGGATCTGTGACTGGGCCCTGGCTGAGGTGCCACGAGGGGCTGAACTACCGAAAAGCAGTGAGAAGGGCCGGCCAAGTAACTCAGCGGATTAAAGTGCCTGCAAGCAGGCACAGGCGCCGGGGGTTTGATCCCCAGGCCTGCCGTGCCAGTGCTGGCCCCGCCCCCAGGGCAAGCTGAGGCAGCAGTTGAGACTGGGCGTGGTGGCGCACGCCTGTAATCCCAGCACTTGGGAGGCTGTAAACAGGCGGATCACTATGAGTCGGATCTAGTAGTGAGACCCTGAACACCCTGTAGACCCTTCCCTAAAATACAAAAACAAACCAGTGGGAGCTGAGCCCATCTGGTCCAGCCACTGATTACAGAACAGCAGAGAGACAGCCTGAGCACCCCCAGCCAGCCCACTCTGCATAAAATTCTGCAAGATAAACGGTTTGGTCATCTGTATTCACCAACTGTACAGCACTGAAGAAGGCGTAAAGACAAGAAACTACTGCCCATTGGTCGGGCGTGGTGGTACATGCCTACAATCCCAGCACTCAGGAGGCTGAGACAGGAGGATCACTGTGAGTTCAAGGCCAGCCTGAAATATATAGTGAAACCCTGCCTCAACAAGACAAAATAAATAAATAACAAAGAAACAGAATAAAAAGAAACCCCCCCCCCCCCGAAACTACAACTTAAAAGTTCGAGAGTTTTGGTTTTTTTTTTTTTACAGTCAAGTATAATATGCAGATCTTCAAGACTCTGGCTATTTTCCAACACGCAATGATATCTGAGAAGAACCAGGGGACTGGGGAAGACACTCGGGTTCCAGCGCTTGTATAGCACACATGAGGCCCTACTGTGAGTGAGTGAGCGAGTGAGTGAGCGAGCGAGCAAGCAAATAAATCACCACGGGCCTGCAGGAAGAACTCAAATCCTCCTTGTGAGGCTTCCCAGCTGCGTTCGGCGGTCACAGCACCACACTCAGCTCCACACGGAACCACCGACCTGGTGGGTGTGAGGAGGTCTCAGTCATACTCGCTCTCCAAGTGCCAGGGTCTCGAGTCCTCGGTGGCTCCAGCATGATTTTATGAGAGGAGTGTTCAGTTCTGGACACTCCAGCAGAACACCAGACAATGTCCCTGCCTGACCATGCAGCCTGAGTCGTAGGACAACAGCCTGGTGGTCACCACTAGCCTGAAGTAGCTCTTACAAAAGGGATTAGATCGGATATTATGGACAGAGCCCCACACTATAAAGACCAATGTCCCCGTCCCTGTCCGGAGAGGACAGTGAGTTATCCACCTTACAGGCAAACATACACTGCACCTGTCTGTCCTCCCCACACCTGTAAAATTCCTGGAGCCAGATGAGAGGACACTGTCAAAGGCAATGTAAAGGCTGGACAGGATCCCTCCTTCCAGGAGCCCCTTGGGGCACAGCAAGCAAGGCGGGGTGGGGGGAAGAACTGGGTGCTGTGGCTGGCTGTCACAGACCCTGGTACAAACCAGGACACTCACTATCAGAATGCCACGTTAGTGTCAGGCATCAAAAGCCCACTCACTGTGCCTGATTTTGCACCTCGAGCTCTGAGCTGTGGGGCGGCTGAGGCAGAAATGCGCTTGCATGCACTGAGTGCCTGGCAAAGACGCCGCTGACACGCCGAGTCCCAACACCCAGCTCTGGGCACAGAGCATCGAGCCCAGAGCCAGATCCCTCCTCTGAGCACACCAGCCTCAGCACCCTGCCGCCACTTTCTGCTGCCCTGCCAGGGTGCCACGGGGCCTCGAGTGAGTCTGAAACCTTTTCCCAAGTTCCAGACTCCCTCGTGCCCAACTGCTGGCATGACCCGCGCTGGCCTCCCACACTGAGAACACCGGAACGCAGCGGCACCCTGGTGGCGCCAGCTCCTGCTCCCATCTCAGCTCCCCCACTTGGAGTCCTGACTCAGCTTCCCCATCCCGTCAGTGGAGCTGTCCAGAGGCAGCCGCCTCAGGGTGGCCCAGAGAACCAAAGCCTGGCCCGGAGGGAGCCACCTCTGAGCCCCCACTGCGGCAGATGCGCCTCCCTGCCAAGCACTGAGCCTCCCCACGCCCAGGCTCAGCTGCGCAGGCGCCCAAGCCAGGCCAGCAGAGAAGCAGCCATGGCCGCTTCTGCAGCGCCCGGTGCCCTACTGGCTGCCCCAGAGATGCAGCCACATGCTGAGGCTCAGCTGGGCACTGCTCGTCCTGCTGCGCTCCAGGTCAATGGAACACGTTTACTGAGGCCCCGGTATGCTGCAGGAAGACATGGAAACCACCAGCCATGTGGTTAGGACACTTCCAGGAGTTAAAGTGCATTGGGGGCCACTACGAGCGGCTCTGAGCAGGATTTAAATTGACCACCAGCTTTCCATGTTTACCCGTGAGTCTGTCCCAGGCCGAGGCCCCTTGTCTGTAGAGACAACAGACTCACAGTAACTGTGAGTCACTGGTCCCACTGCAGCCTGTAGTGGCCTGTGAAGCCCTGAAGCCTCAAAGCACAAGACCACAGCGAAGGACTCATGGCTCCAACCCAAATTAACAAAGATAAAGCATGTAGCTGTGGGCATCTCACTTCTTGGTAGAGGCTTTGCTGGAGATGATAAAGTTTTCCTATGTTAACATAATGTCTTACTTGGGCAAGTCCTTGAGTGGACTTCCAAGGTCCTTGAAGGGTTCTGCTCAGTTCCTGCCTTTCTTCGGTATCCCCCTCCTTTGGTAATGAAGTACAGGCCACCCAGAGATCTTTGCTTTAGCCCCTAGAGATCATGTTAGAGGGTTTTGATCCTCTTGGAGCCCTAAAATCTTACCACTTGACTTTTACTTCAGCCTTTGAGGTCTACTCCTTGCGGGATTGTGAGTCTGGTCAGTCCATGATAACATGAACACACTAAAAGTGCACTTTGCACCCTGGCCCATCGGCTCCCTAGCTGTGCAGCCACACGGGGCCAGCAGGATTAACGGTGCACCTACCCCTTGGGGCTGGACTTAGGGCGAGAGACGCACAGTGCCTGGCACAAAGGAAGTGCGGAATGCGAGCGGCTGGTGACACCACCGGGCACCACAAAAGACAGCTACTGTTTCCCCAGCTGTTAGACTTCTGGATGGAGCCATCCCTTGCTGAGGGTGTAACTTAGCCCAAAGGGGAAAGCAATCAGCCCCTAGAGGCACCAGAGGACCTAAGGCAGAGAAGGGAAGGGCGCACAGGGCCACCTTCCCATCCCTTCAACCTGGACTCAAGATGCCCTCCACGGGGCCTCAACTTCCCGTGTGCCCTCTTCCGTTTCCTGGATGGAGCGCGGCTGGTGCCAGTGCCCTGGCTGTGGTCTGCAGTCCTCCTCCTCTGTCACCATCAGGTGGGTGGCACTGCCCCAGCCACCCACATGTGGGGAGTCCCACATCCTTCCTCTTCCCAACCCACATGGGAATCACCCCTAAACCACATACGTGCACCGACAAACACCACTGTGGCTCTAGCGCCTTCCCACCCTCCACGGGCCTCCAAGCAGCCATACACCTGTCAGCCCTCCATACTACTATGACAGATCTGCAGGGAGGTGGAAGAAGGGCAGGAGGCAGGCTGGCGGTTCCCTGCAGCAGGGGGCACAGTTTAAGGGTGATCTGACCTGGAGCCTAGGAAACAGCTTCTACCCTCCCGGAGTCCCCTCCCTTGGCCTGAGGCCTTCCGAAGGCTGACTCATGCCGGTCCCGGGAGGAAATTCCTGTTCCCGCACATTCAACAGAGTGGAGAAGGCAGCGGCAAGTTCCGGGATCCGAAGGGGCGGGGTTTTTTGTTTCAGTCTTGCAACCAACTTTCATTGTGCAATGACACCCGTGCAGGGTGGAGTGGGATGCAAGGGGCTGTGCTTAGGTCTGGAAAAACCACAGAAGGTGGAGGCTGCGCAGCAAAGAGCGGGTCCAGCACCCACAGGTGAGGCAGGCGCCAGGCCCCTCCTCCGGACAGCGGCCTTTAACTGTTCATGACTGGCGGGCCTGGGCTGTCAGTTCAGGTGCTCTTCTTTAAGCCTGTTTTCTGGTCTGGAATATGGAGTCAAGCCCATCCGTCTCCTCCACCCTTCCTCCCAGGGTGCTCTGAGGATGGGCCTACAAGATAGTCTGAAGTAATGTCTCCTTAACCTTGCTTTGCCTCCCCCACAGTGAAATGGGCTCACTCCTCTGCTGGCCTAGAACAGGGAAAGGCCCGAACACCAGGCAGAACTTTTGCACAGGACCTCAGATCCTTGCCCCATCCCTGGGCTCAGACTGAGTTTCCGCAAGCAGAAGAGAGGCCTGACTCCGACTCCCAGGGACGCTTGGCTTCCCTCCCACCCTCTACCGGCTTAACACAGAAGGAAGGGGGGTTCCGGGAGGGGCAGGCGTTCGCAGGTCACCGCTCAGCCTGCAACAGGCCTGGGCCCCCTCCCCACCGGCCTGGCCAACCTGGGCCCCTCCTGCCCGACCGTGAACAAAGGGGGCAGGGACGAGGGGCAGAGATGGGGACGGGGGACGAGGGACGGGGACGGGCAATCGGCACCCACCTTCTGCTCCATGCTGTGCAGGCCCCGGCTCAGCTCGTCGCGCTGGCCAGCCAGGTCCTGGTGGCCACGCTGCAGCTGCTGTACCTCCTGCAGGACGTGGTGCGCGCCCCAGCCCGCGAGCGCGGCGGCGGCCACGAGCGCCAGCCAGCACAGCGCGCCGAGCACACGGCCGAGCGCGCGC